CAGACAGCAGTCTAGTCCTCAAGGGATGTCACCACCTCCAGAGAACATATTCCAATTATCTTGGAAAACAAGGTAATTGGAATTATGATAGTATTCATCTTCTCAGTTCTTACAATGGAAAATCACAAGGGCAAAAGATAAGTCCAGATAGCTCAATCTCCTTTGGCACGGGGGAAGCTTTGCAATTTATGGAGCCACTAAGTTTTCTGCAGCTACTGCTAGCCTGTAGTCACCTTTCTTTCAGGGTGTAACAGTGAGTGGCTTTAGTGGACAGCAATTTAATGAGAACCTGCCATGTGTAGGCACTCTTCAAAGGGATAGAGCAGAAAACAAGATTTGCTATGAGGGGAGATTCCTGTCCTCTTTTCGCAAAGAAGACAGACACACAGGATAAATATGCAAAACAGCATATGTTAGATGGGGACATATAGGCCCTAGGAAAAAAGAATGGGGCAGCAGATATTTGGGAGTGGAGGTACTACAGCTGTTTAAAATAGGCTAGCTAGGCTTGGGAACACAAGCCTATCATGTGTGGTGCTTGAATCAATCCCAAGCATCTGTCTGTCTGTCTCTGTTATCTGACAGGAGCCACATGTGGTGGGAGGGGGTAGGCAGCTGCTGTGGAAGAGCAGAGGTGGGTGCAGAGTGGAAAGAGGGGGAGCTGCTATGTCAACAGGTAAGGGAAGGGTCTAGCACACATCCTGTAGTACTTTGTAGCCCAACTGCTACACTATGCAAATACAAGTTAGAATTTTCTTCCTCACATCCGAGAGTGAAAAAGAAAATGCTGCTTATGTGGTCACTTCTGGTTTCAATGTACTAAACTAGACTGGTTAAGTTCTATTTTATGACACGTTTTTCAGAAAAGGACTGAGGGTCTATTTTATGAGGCTAGCTCTGTTTCGGACTGTACCTCACGCTAGAAGAAAGGCACAGAAACAGCAGGAGAAATACCTCCTGCTGGTTTTCTTTACAGGAGCGAGTATAAGACCTCTCAGGTGAAGTTCCAGGAGTTCCAGGTAGTGGGAGGTCTTTTCTTCCCTAGGCAGCAGAAGGGCAGCCTGGAGCATCAAAGAGTACAAAGTGGGCTCAGACACAGGATTTTAGTTTGTTGCATAATTATGACAGTGGGGGGAAAACCCCTAGACATCCAAGGGGCAGACAAGCATTAGTTGAAAAAAAAAATGTGTTCCTTGGGAGAGGTCTTTTGGTCTTTGCTGTATGACCCAGGGCAAAGTCACCCGGGTGGCTTTCAGTTGCCCCACTGTAAAGGTGAAATGGTTTGGCCCCTTAGGCCTCCCCCTACCAGGACAGTGACATGGTTCAGCCTGCCAGAGGTGTAGAGGAGGAGCTAGAGACTTCTCTGATAGTAATTGGACCTTTCAGAGCATTCTCTCTTTTTGGCTTGGAAGAGCCCTCATAGAAGGAGCTCCTGGTAAGAGATAGGGATTTTCTCTCTAGGCCTACAGGAACAACACAGAAGCAGCTGGCAGGACACAGGTAAAACAAAGTTCCAGGAAAGAGAGCTAAGGAGCCCTCATGGATTTCGAGGAGCTCAAGAGAAAGGTAGACTAGCTAGGTAAAGACAGAGAAAGACTTCTAAAGTGCTAGCAGTTTAGTTGTAAAATCAGGCTTGTAAAAAAAAAATATATATATATATATATATATTTGCATATAGTTCAGAAAATAGTTACCTCACTGAGCTAACAGGTTTTTACCCCAGTTTATGCCTCCCGAGTCTTTATTGGTATAAATGTTAGACAACTGAAATGGCTATTCCTTGCTTTTTGATCAGGTGAGTTTTTGATCTCGTGCCATCGAGAGTGAGGACTGTGGGGGAGAAAAGAGCTGTTTCTGAGACAAACAGTAGCAGCAGACAGCAGTACATATCTGTAATTCCAGAATTTGGGAGTGGAGGCAGAAGGGGCAAGAGGCCAAGGCTGTACTGAGCACTGTGTGGCCCTCATAACCAACCACCCAAATAAAGCAAGGAATATGTTGTCTTGCTCAAACAATACAGCAAAAAGCTTCTGGCCTGTATGCCACCCATTATTCCATTCTGGCGTGGCGTTCAGGATCCTGGCAAGGGAGCATCTGCCTTCCACAGAACTGAAGAGGGAAGGGTTTAGGTTGTACTAGTCTTCTGATCAGAAGAGTGAGCTCCCCTCAAGATAAGCTCTGGAGGTGACATAGTTTCTGTCAGTCATGATCAGGCCCTTGGAAGGAAGCCGTAGCGCAGTGCTGTGGCTATTCATGTGTCTCATCCCACAGATCCCGGTTTAGTATTCATTTCACAAATCAAGTACAGCTTCCCCATCACTAGGCTGGCCAGCATCAGCCTCCTGAATGCAGAGGTTGTAAGTGTGTACATCCATACCTGGCTTCATGTATAACTTTTTGCTTCATTTAAGCGTATCCATACATATCCAATTAAGATTCCTTTTATAGCTGCAGTCCCTGAAGCAAGCGCCAGCCTTCCTACTTCCTTTCCTGTACAATCAGAACAGGCTAGGGCTCAAATGAGTCCTCTAAAACCCCTCGCCTCATACTTGATGCATATTAGGCTCTCTACTCTTTGTGCTGGGATAGAACTTGGGTACTGCATATGAGAGGTGAGTGCTCTATCACCAAGCTATATAGCAAGCACTGTTTTCCCTTCAATATCTCAGTCCATACTGGCCTAAAATGCTAAAAGCTCCTGCCTCAGCGTCAGAAAGATTAGGATTATAAGTGCACACTGCTTCCTCTCCCAACTCAGTAGGTTATACTGTCAAATGCTGTGGCTATACCATAAACCAGTGCTTGTCAAACTTTGATGTATGAACCAATTCCTGGAGGAATCCCACTAACCTGCAGATTCTCATGTCTGGGGTTGGGGTGACAGGGATTGTCCTTCCCAACAAGGCAAAGGGTTATTCCTACTGACTATGGTCATTCTCTCAGTAGCAGGAATTTAACACAACTAAGTTCTACCACTTAATACAAGGACACATAAAACCCCATAAAAGGGTGCCAAAAATTATTTCTGTAATTAACCTTTCCACTTTAGCTTCATTTAGCCTCAAAGCCTGCCAAATGCCAAAGAGCAGCAGGGCTAGGCCACAGAATATTTCCCTTGGTCTCCCAACCTCCAGGAAGATCTTGCAACTGCCTCTCTCCACTCTTTTGGCTTTTTGATCTCACCTATTGCTTCTGATGATAATTGCCCTCTAATTAGCACCCACCACCATGTCATCTAAATAATTAAACTAAGTACAGACTGCACCTCTGCCCGCCATCTTCTCACAAATGATAAAACAACATCCCAAGCTGCTGATTAAAAAAAAGATGAAATTGACCCAAATAAGTCATACATGCATACCATATATAGTGCAAGGCCTGTTAATGGATTTCCTTAGCATAAGTTAAGGAGTAGATGGTTTACTTAGAAGCCAGTATGAGAAAATACACAGTATCAGGAAAATTGCAAATGCAAGAATGTGAATTATGAAACTTAGCATCAAAAGGAAAACAAACAAGTGTGTTGAAAATCCACCTTAAATTGCTATTGGAAAGGGCTCAGTTTGTTTTTGTTGGGAGGGTGGCAGAAAGGAGTGCCAAGGGCATCTAACCAAGGGCATGGGTATGCTGGAGAAGCACTTTAGCACTTATTTATCCTCCCAGCCTGAAGCCATTTTCCCTCTTTAAGATTTTCCTGACTTCATTGAAGGGTGCTTGAGACTTGAGGGTACTTTAAAAGCAAATCTGGCAGAAGAGGTGGTCTTTTCACTAAAAGCAATTATAAGTTTTCTAATTTCTCAGGTGAGTCTCCATTAACTGCCTACCCAACAGCAAGGCTGATGACTGACACAAGCGTCTCTCCTAGGGAAAACTGACTGTGCTAGTCTTTAGAAAGATATTTTTTCATTGAGGGCGTAAAATAAGACCTCTCCAGATTTCTCAATTAGATAATACACTGACACGGTTAAAAAAAAAAAAAAGTCTCTACAGAGAGGGAAATTTAAATATTCTGTCCATCATTCACTAACTTCCTGTCCCGACTAGTTGGTTAAAAACCTAAAGAAAAACAAACAACCCCCACCCCCAGAAAACCAAAACTTTATTATGAACAATTTTAGATGTAAACACCGGTACGACAGCGTATGTGTACATATTCCAACAGCAGCTCCAACAACGAAGAACGCCCTCAGTTAATTTACTCCCTTCTTTTCCAGTTTGCAGAGGCGTAGTCTACAGCTGAACAAACACATCGGATCATTTTACCTATTAAAACTTTAGTATGCTTTTTTAAAAAATTCAAAGCCACGTTGCCGTAAGCACATTTAATAAAGACGACGATAATTTCTTAGTAACATACAGTACTTGGGTGCTGGAGGTTGGGGGGTGGGGATCACTGCTAGTAAGTAGGGGACAGAAGACAGAACTCTGTAGTGGGGACTGATGAGTAAGGAGCGAGAGGATGAAGCGCCCGGATGAAGCGGATCGCGGCCGTGAGGAGACCAACACCAGACACCTCCTGGTTTCGGTCCACGTTACCTGCGTCGGTTTGCTCGCACCGTCAGACCAAGTCAAAGGCGGCCCCCAAGCTCCCCGCCTCCAAGGTCCGGAGAGGAGGTGGCCCAGCTGGCTCGGCGCAGCTGCACAAGTCACTCTCCCCAGACACCGGAGGGTCCCTGGAGGGGAAACGATTGACACAGCTGCCTGCACTGCGCCCGAGCCTTCCCTCGCCGCACCTGCGTCTCCTCGCGTGGCCGGGAACTGGAACTGGCTCCCGAGCCGGTGAGGTCCAGCAGGCCCGCAGCCAGAACCCAGATCGTTTGTCTGCTCCGGAACCGGGATTTGGACCCCGGGACCTCGCGGAAGAGAACTACAACTCCCGACGAGTCTCGCGGCCCGACCAATGGGAGCAGCCGGCGCGTGCGGGGCGCGGCGCCTGCGCGGCGGTTTGAGTAAGCGGCCTTACGATTGGCTGCGGGGTCGGGCGGCCGCGCGGGGACTGTGGGAAGCGGAGTGACGGAGCGAGCGGCTGTTGGAGGAAGGAGGTGGGGGCCGGGAGCGCAAATGGCGTTGAGATGGTTCAGGGCCCTGTTCAAACTCCAGCGCTGACCATTCACCGGCGGAGGCGGCGGCGCAGAAGGCGGCGGCGGCCCAGCGGGGGCACGTAGCAGGCTCGGTACCGGCGGCGGCCGCCAGGGAGGCCTAGGCCCTGCCCGGCCGGGGCGCCTGAGGTGGGGAGGGAAGTTGCGGGGCCGCCGCTCCCCCCCCTCGCCCGGGCTTCCTATTTACCGAAGCGGAGCCGCGGTCTGTGACGGCCGCCGAGCCCCCGGCGTCTCTTGGCGCACCGGTCGCCACTGTTCTCCGCGCGGGGCTTCTGCGCCCGCCCGTGGGCCGTTGGGAGCGGGAGAGGCGGAGGCGGCCCGAGGCCAAAGCACCCGCCAGGCGCCTAGGGTAAGTGAGGTCTCGGGCGGCCGCCTAGGCCGGGAGCTAGCTGGGGCGGGTGGAGGAGACCGGGGCGCTGCGAGTCTCGTTGCTCACCTGGCTTCTAAGGAAGTTGGGCACTGAGGGATTTGAAGAACTCTCTCCCTCCCCACCACCTCCTATTTCCCTTTTGAGTTCTTTTCCGGGCGGCTACTTGATTGACTTCTCTCTTCCAAACCGGGTCCGGCTGACTTCAGTCCTGAATTCTTTCCCCCGTCGTTTCCTCCTCCTCTAGCAGTCACCGAGGCCTTGCTTCGGGGACTCGGTGGCAGAAGCTTCCGGGGCGTCCAAAGCGACGTCCCTTTCCTGGGCGTTGGGGGTTGGGAGGAGAAAAGTTGCCCGAGTGTCCAGCGCGAGGGGTGTCTCGCCCACTGCCTCCTGGCGCACTCGCAGCCTCAGGTGAGGATCTCTACTTGCCTCTGTTTGCCCCTTCCACTTTCCCCAATGCCCTTGGTGGGTGGGGGTGGGGGTTCCTGGAAGAGGCTGGGTTTCTGTGCAGTTTAAGTGTAAGGAGTCCCCCCCCCCCCCCAGGTTTCACTAATTTAAATCCCTATGCACTTCCCTCAAAAGTAAGCTGGGCTTTAGGGTGAGGCAAAGTCCCCAAAGATTTAAAAAAACAAAAACAACACTTAGTTGTGAGTCCTCATTTTCTTTTTAGTCAGGAGTGTTGGTGAAGTTTGAAGCCTGAACAAGATAGTGTCTGAAATGTATGTAAAATGTCATGCCAAACATAAATGCCTACACTTGAATTTGTATATATGCTTAGATATGCTAAGATTGCAGTAGTCTGGTAACTTTTTTTTTTTTTTTAAATGGACGTTATGGAAAACAAAAACAATCACATAATGAGCTCTTGTATTCATGTCCACTGGATTCAATAGATAATAACTCAGCCATATTTGTCTTAGCTACAAGCTTCCCATTCCTTAATATTAAGAAAATCACTGATATTTCATCAGTATTTAATGATGTTACTACACAGTGTATGTTTGTGAGACATGATCTCTTAAAAATACACATTTAACTCAGTATCAAATATACATTTTCACACCTTAATCTTGCAACAGTCAGTGCTTTATGTTTTTAGGACTGTTTTTACGGTGAGTTTTTCAATTGTTGCCATAAAGGAAATCAAGTCTAGATTTTTGGTTTGGTCTTTAGTCAGCATTTTTAAGATGGATTGCCATGTATATGTGTTCAAAACATTCCAGCTTTGTTGTAATATATATAAATGAAAGTCTGCATATCACACTTAAAGAAATGACTTCATTTTCTTGTCTTTGTTAGCTGCCCAATTATACTTTGTTGTGTTTAATAGGCTGTATTTAACAAGAAGGACAATAAAAGCTTGTTAAGTGTTCAAAACTACAAAATGGAAACTAAATTATTAGTTTGTCCAGTCAGGATTGATTTCCTTTCAAACTTTAGGGGGGTGGTAAATCTACTGAATATTTGCTGAACTAAATTAGATAGTGATTCATTAAATTGTAAGGACTTAATAAAAATATTAAAAGTGTAGATCAAAAACATTTGAAATATAAGTTAAATATTAGTCCTATTGTAAGTTTCAGAGTAATGAAGTTTTTTTTTCCAAGTTCTTAAGCAATTGCTCACCTTCCCCCTAGAAGTGATAAATTGGTATTTAAATTACAGAAGGTCAGAGTGTTTAAAAAATGGATAAGGATTGACTATGTTGTATTGTAACTTGTATTTTTTAAATGTTTGATTTTTTTTTTTTTTCCCCTGGAAAAAATTTTCCAGTGTATTTATTTTTAGGTACATCAGTTAAATAGGTTTGTTTGTAAATTGGAAAGAAAAAAATAAGGGTTATATATTTCTACATTTATATAGTAAATTACCTTTGTTCAGTGGAGTTCTCCAACTTCAGAAATGTCACTTAGCAAATGAACATAGCAGTATAGAGATAAAGAAGATAGAAGAATAGTTTCATCAATTTAGGCAGATGACCACTGAAGAACTTTTGTTTGTTTTGTTTTCAGGCAGGGTTTCTCGGTGTAGTCCTGGTTGTCTTGGAACTCACTTTGTAGACCAGGCTAGCTTCAAACTCAAGAGATTCACCTGTATCTGCCTCCCAAGTGCTGGGACTAAAGGTGTGTGTCACCAGGTCTAGTGAAGGAATTTTTCTTTTTAAATCAGTTAAAATTACTTTAGACCAAGAATAAGAATCTTTACGGTTGGGTAGAAGCTATAGGTTGTACTATATAAGAAAATGAGTTTTTCTGACTCTATCTTTGTATGAAGAGCTGTAAAAATTTCAAAGAACTAAATTTAGTCAACTGACATTGTTTAGATCCTGGAAAACATAACATAATTTGGTTAGAAATATTGTATTTGGATATTTACTCTATTTAGATTATTTTTCTGGTTAAATTGTGTATGAGAACAGTCAATTTGGAACTTGAAAAATGTTTTAAGTTAGATTTGTAGGGTTACTTCCTTGTAACTTGGTTAATAGAAACCTTTTTTTAATTTTGTAAGTTTCATATGAATGTGTACTTATTGTAAAACAATAGCACTACCAAATGTGATATATGGAAGTAAAGGATACGTTGAGCCTCTTCAACTTATTTATTTAAACTAGTTTAATAGTTTGTATACTGAATGATGAAAACTATATAAGAAGTCATAGGATTTTTTATAGAATGCTTAAAACTTGTTAAAAGGTTGTTAATTATATTTTCTTAAATTTCTTTACACAGGGAATATGAAACAGGTGTCAAAATGACATCCCGATTTGGAAAAACTTACAGTAGGAAAGGAGGAAATGGCAGTTCAAAATTTGATGAAGTTTTTTCCAACAAACGGACTACTCTTAGTACAAAATGGGGAGAGACCACGTTTATGGCTAAATTAGGGCAGAAGAGGCCCAATTTCAAACCAGATATCCAAGAAATTCCGAAGAAACCTAAAGTAGAAGAAGAAGATACTGGAGATCCTTTTGGTTTTGATAGTGATGATGAGTCTCTACCTGTTTCTTCAAAAAATTTAGCCCAGGGTAAGGGTTCATCTTACTCAGAATCCAGTGAAGCTGCTCAGCTGGAAGAAGTCACTTCTGTACTTGAAGCTAATAGCAAATTTAGTCATGTGGTGGGTGAAGACAGTACTGCTTCTGATAGATGCTTACTTGTGGAGGATACTTTGATCGGGAAAGAAAAGAGCACAAATAGAGTCCCAGAAGACAATGCAAACAAAAGTAGTTGCACTAAATTAATAACTTCAGGTAAGTTTTGATGTTTTTTTTGTTTTTTTGTTTTTTTTTTTTATAAGCCAAGAGAGCTTTCTGTAAACCATTTGTGCGAAATTAAATTTTAATTTATTATTTTTGTGTGCATGCATATGTTTGGGAATTACGGGACAGTATTAAGTTGTTTTTTTCCATGTTTATATGGGTCTCAGAGATCAAACTCAGGTTGCCAGGCTTGCATTGCAAGCACCCCTGCCGAGCTTATTGGCACCTTAAAAGGTGTGCGTGCTCAAGTGTCTGCATGTGTGTGTCACATTTGTGTGTTATTAATACTTTTTTCTTCTCCTTGCATTTGCGATTATTTGGGGCTATTGATAAGTTTCTGTATATTTTATATATGGGTGTTTTGCCTGCATATATGTTTGTGCGCTGTGTATACAGGGTGTCCTCAGAGGCTAAAAGAGGAGCTTCTGGAGTTTCTGAATTCCAATGAATTTTTACTCCGCTCTCCTCCCTTTAGAGATTAAAGCTCAGAGAGTTTAGGTGACTTTCTGAGATCAGCTAGTGGTAAAATTGAAATGAGATTTAAAAAAAATTAATAGATTTATTATTTTATACCTGTTTTTGCCTGTATTTATGTGTGCATACCACATGCATGCTTACTGCCTGCCAAAGTCAGAAGAGGTCATGTGATCCCCTGGAACTAGAGTTACAGATAGTTGGGAACCACCATGTGGGTGCTGGGAACTGAACCCAGGTCCTCTGTAAGAGCAACCAGTACCTTAACCACTGAGTGAGATTATTGATTGTTTAGATGTTGTTGAGCCTGTTTGTTCAGCTCTGGGCTAGGCTCTTGAGAATACTGTTCACTTTGAATTGGGTAGTATTCTTAGTGTCATTTCTAGCTGATTGCAGATAGTTGTTTTACATATGAGGCAGGTGGCCAGGAGAAGAAAGAAACTGGTGAGTTCTTAAAGTTATCATGGAGGATCAAGGGTACTGTCTTGGAGTATGGGACACCGTTGTCAAGAAGAGTGCCTGATAGCAGAGGGCTGAGAAAAAGATAAATGTTTAGTAAGAGGAATACGAGCATTTACTTCCTTAAGTCCCTTTGGTGATGATGTGTCTTTACATATATCCAAATTGCTGTTGGAAATTGCCAGAAACTGAAAAACAGTTTTCTATTGCATGAAATAGGTTCCCACTCCAGTGTAGCTAAGTTGTAGTTCTGTTGCCAGTAGTTGGATTGACTCTGAAGTGAGATTCCATTATAATGAATTTTGAGGAGAAAAATATATACTAAAATACAGATAAACAGCTCTTCAAGAAAAAGAAAATCATTTTGATTCCCTTGTCATGGAGGCACACTAGTGGGAAGGGAATAATATAGCAGCATGGGTTTTTTTCTCTTTTCATTGACTTTCACTCTGGTGACTATAGCTATAGGGTAGAAAGCAAACTTTGAAGAAGTGTTTTTAATTTTTGTAATAGTCTTAGCCTATTCTAATTGTGCATAATTTGGTTATTTTTATGAATCATGTATAAGTTCACGTATTTAATTAAAAGTTTCTGAAAGAGACTTTTGAGCTTTGTAGATTTTCTTTTCATAGCCTCTTCATCTAAACTTTTTGTTAGTATTTCGTGTTTTTTTACATGTTTGTCATAGCATCAGTGCCTTTACTTTCACTCAGAAAGCTATTAAAAGTTTTATCAACAACTTGTTCCAAGTGCACAGATTAAAAAGTTTCATAGTGTCTTAGCAGTCAGGTAACTGTTCAATCTCACCAGCTTATCCAAGCTTCAATTTTATTTTTTCCAGTAGTACATGTTAAGTGCATCTTTTTCTCTGTAGAGAACTATGTGATTAAGTGTTTGATGATATTACAGTTCTTTGTTTTAAGTACTTTTTAATGAATAGTACTTTTGAAAATTATGGTTAATTTGGAGAGGAATTCATGACAAAAGTCATGATGAAACAGAAAGGTTTGGCTAGTAAGATAGCCTAATAGGTAAAGCCTAAAAACTTGAGTTTGACTTCGGGAACCATATAGTGGAAGGAGAGAATCAACAACTCCTGCAAGTTGTCTCTGACCTCTATACACTCATGCATACCATGACTTGTGTGTCCCCACACATGTGCACATACTCATATACAAAAATAAATGAGTAAATGTAATAATTTTTTAAAACATAAGTGGTTGCCATTTTAGAAACAAATACTTAATAGATAAGGTAAAGAGCAGAAAGAATTACAAACTATGACTAAGAACTTTCAAGACATTATAAAATTTCCAGTTACACAAAAATAGAATATTGAAAGAACTTTGGGTATTCAATAGTTGGTGTATGGAAGGCATCTCTTCTCTCCTTATGATACTGGGAATTGAACCTAGGGCTTTATGCATGCTAGGCAGTCATCTACCACTGAGTACCCACTACCTCAGTGTATGGCAAATTGTGTATTATCTGTTCTACCTACTACTCGTCCTACCTTCGATTATGTATTACTCATCCTGCCAATCCATTAGGTATTCATTTTCAAGTGAATTCAGTAGTTCTTGTTGTTATCTGCAGATTTTTCCTCTTAAATTTTCTAAACAAAACATTCTGATTTCATTGGCTTTTTAAACTAGTCAATTAGATAGATGTGACACTAAAAAGACTGAGCAGGAGTTGGTGTTCATCTTTCTAAGACATCTATAGTATTATATTAATAGATTTACTTGACCTTTTATTTATTAATTTTCAAAGACACAGTCTCACTATGTAGCCCTGGTTGTCCTAGAACTCACCATATAGACGAGGGTGGCCTCTGCCTTCTGAGTGTTGGGGTTAAAGGCATGCACCTCCATGCCTTGCTTAAGATTAATTTTATGTTTACGTGTCTGTGTTATGTGAGCGTGAGTGCAGGTGCCAGAGGCATTAGATTCCTCGGAGCTTGAGTTATAGGCAGTTGTGAGCGATCTGACATGGGTACTGAGAACTGAACTCAGTTTCTCTGGGAGAGAAATATTTATTCTTAACCAATGAATCCCCTTCAGACCCTTACTTACCCCTCTCTCCCTCCCTTCCTCCTTCCCTTCCTTCCTTCTTTCTTATTAAAGACATTGTGTGTATATGTGTGTGCATGAACATGGTTAGAATGTGGAAGTTAGAGGACAGTATTTTGGAGTCAGTTCTGTCTTTGTACCAGGGGTTACAGCAAATTAATTCACTATCGGGCTTGTATGATAAGTACTTTTACCAGCTAGCTAACCCATCACCCACTCTGTGGGGGTTTGGTTTGTTGAGACAGGATCTTGTGTATCCTAGGCTGGTCTTGAGCTTACTGTGTGATCAAGGATGACTTTGAACTTCTGAGCCTCCAGCCTCCACTTCCTGAATGTGAGAATTCAAGGCAATTTGCCAGAATACCTGGTATATTTGGTATTGGTGATTGAACCAGCCAGGGCCTTTTGCATGCCAGACAAGCACTCTACCAATACTTGGCAAGTATTCTCTAAAGTTTGAAGTCCAGGACTGTGCATTAAAACATTTATACTGGGTGGTGGCTGTATACAGCTTTAATCCCAGCACTTGGGACACAGAGGCAGGTGAATTTCTGAGTGAGGCCAGTCTGGTCTATAGAGTGAGTTCCAGGACAGCCAGAGCTACACAAAGAAACCCTGTCTTGAAAAACAAAACAAAAGCTATTAAACAACAACAAACCTATGCACCATTTGTGTGCAGTGTCTGTAGAGGCCGAAATAGAGTGTTGGGACTGGAGTTACAGTCAGTTGTGAGCCACCAAGTGTACTGGGGCCCCTGGAAGAGCAGCCAGTAACTCTGAAACATTTCTTAGCCTAGGAGTTTTTAAAAAGGTTGCTTTCGATTTTTATTGAGGTTGCTTCCAGTTCTCCTTTGTTAGTCTGGACTCGTGAAAAAAGTATGTAGAGACTTATATTTCTGCCTGGCACACTTTTCATGCCAGCCAGCTGGGATTCAGTCTACGTATCCTGCCAAATATTGAGATAACTATAGCATAGTCTCTTAATTTGCATGGTTGGTTTTGTAGCCAGTAAATTCCCATTTGCTTAAAGCTGTAATAAGTGTGTGAACTTGTTGGGGGTTATTGTCAGGACATTATAAGCTTTGATTTTTAGAACCAAAGTTGATTTTCAGAAATTCTACTTTTTAACAGTTTTTTTTTTTTAAAGACTTATTTATTATTTTATATATGTGAGTGCTCTATGTGCATGTACTCCTGCATGCCAGAACAGGGCATGAGATCCTAGTATAGATGGTTGTGAGCCACCAGGTGGTTGTTGGGAGTTAAACTCAGGGCCTCTGGAAGAGCAGACAGTGCTCTTCACCGCTGAGCCGTCTCCCCAGCCCCTACTTCTTACAGTTTAAAGTGAGCTAGAAATGGGCTGGAGAAGTGGCTTAGTGGTTAAGAATGCATATGGCTCTTGCAGAATACCTGAATGGCTCCAGGACCCACTGGTAATTACAGTTCCAGGGGAATCCAACGAACACCTCTGGCCTTCGTGAGCACCTGCACTCTGTATATTTATCTATATACAGGCATAGAACATGCATATATTTAAAAAACTTTTTTAAAAGGTGGCCTACAAACTTATCTGAGATACTGTTTTCTACTTTTATTGGATATAGATTATTAGTGAGGATTGTTAGAGAATCCTAACAATATCAGGAAGTTACTTCCCTTTAGATAGTGACTATTATTTTTTTTTATAAAATATATTTGTCATATCTCAAGAAAATTTGGTAATCTTTTTTTATTTTTTATTTTTTTCAGTTACAGCTAAGCCTTTTATATATCAGTCAATTTTTTTTTTTTTTTTGAGATAGGGTTTCTCTATATAGTCTTGGCTGTCTTAGACTTTGTAGACCAGGCTGGCCTCAAACTTAGCCATTCACCTGCTCTGTCTCCGGAGTGCTGGGACTCAAGGCGGGAGCCGCCCTGCCAGGCTTATCAGTCAATTCTTAATCATAGCCTTGTAAAGCTGGCTTAATTCCTATTATGTTAAGGGTAA